GGACCCTCCTTGCTCCCTGTCCCCTGACTGCCCTGACCCCTATCCACTCCCCACTCCCTGAGAGACCCTGGGACTCCCATGCCCCATCCAACCCACCCTGTCCCCTGACTGCCCCGACCCCCACCCCTTATCCAACCGCCCTGGCCCTGGACCCCTTACCATGAGATGAGGCTCCTAGCCTCCCCTTGGAGCCAAACACTGCCCTGCGGGAGCGCGCAGCCCCAGCCCTCAGAGCACTGTGCGCACAGCAGCATGGCTCATAGGGAGGGGGGAGCGTGTCTGACTCCCCGCTGAGCCCCCGGCCCCCAGAGCGCTGCGCATGGCAGCATGGCTCCAGGGGAAGGGGGAGCATGTCTGACTCCCCGCGCAGCCCCGGCCCCCAGAGCGCTGCGCGTGGCGGCAGGGCTCCAGGGGAGGGGGGAGCATGTCTGCCTCACCACGGAGCCAAACACTGTCCCACGGGAGCGCGCAGCCCCGGCTCCCAGAGTGCTGCACGTGGTGACAGGGCTCCAGGGATGGGGGGAGCATGTCTGCCTCACCACGGAGCCAAACGCTGCCCCACAGGAGCGCGCAGCTCCAGCCCCAGAGCGCTGCGCATGGCAGCATGGCTCCGGGGGAAGGTGGGGGAGGAGCCCGCGGCTTGCTGCGTTCGGCCGGGTGCTCCGGCCTGGGAGCGCGGACCCCGCGGCTTGCCGCGCTGGGAGAGTGGAGCCATTTGCCCACCCCTGCATTAGGGTGTGCCTGGGTGCACTCGGCACACCCTGTGCGCACGCCTATGCTCATGAGCACTTCAGAGGACAATATGCAACCGTAGAAGATGACTTACCCCAGGGTTCTAGTGAGATATACACATCACTCTGAGGGTGTCACTCACACAGTTTACACTGTCACCAGAAACTGTCAATAAAATTATAGTCTTCTATTGCAGATGGATAAAGCTGCTCCACACAAATACATACAGTGTATCTTCTATACCAGGGGATGGATGTCTGACCTGGGAGCGCAGGAAGTGTGCTACCTCCCAGAGGCCTGTATCCAAGACATTACTGAAGGACTGCCGAGGATCATCCGGCCCTCTAACTACGATCCCATGCTGCTCATCCATGTGGGCATTCATTATACTATAAGGTGTAAGACTAAGCAGATCAGAAGTGACTACAAGGCTCTGAGAGTTAGGGTTGGGGAATTGGAGGCGCAGGTGGTGTTCTCATCAATCCTTCTGGTCAAGGGTAGGGGTCCAGGCAGAGACAGACACATCCTGGTGGTGAACGTATGGCTGCACAGATGGTGCCACCAGAAGGGCGTTGGCAACCTCTTCCATGGGATGCTGTTCCAAGGAGGACTGTTAAATAGAGATGGGATCCACCCATGAAGGAAAAGGAAGAGTATCTTTGGACACTGACTGGCTAAGTAGTGAGGATGGCTTTAAACAAGGTTCATCGGGGCAGAAGACAAAAGCCCACTGACGAGTCCAGAACATGGAGACCTGGGTGAAGAGTCGAAATCTGTGAGGAATATGGACAATCATAGAAGGGAGAAAGTAGAGACAAGAGGGAATATAAAGGAAAAATCTAATGGATATCTTAGATGTCTGTTTACTAATGCAAGAAGTACGGGGAAAAATAGGAAGAACTAGTGAATAATCACAATTATGACAAAACTAGCTTCACAGGGTGGGATAATTCATATGACTTGAATGTTGGTATTGAAGGGTACAGCTTGTTCAGGATGGACACGCAGGAAAAAAGGGAGGAGGTGTTGCCTTGCATATCAAGGATGTATACACTCAAACTGAGGTCAAGATATAAAGTGGGAAGCAGACATGTTGAAAGTCTCTGAGTAAGGATGACTGGAGTAAAAAATAAAAGTGATGTCATGGTATGTGGTCTACTATAGATCACCTAACCAGGAACAAGAGGTGGATGAGGCTTTTTTTAAACAACTAATAAAATCATCCAAAGCACAGGACTTGGTGGGGATGGGGGATGTCAAGTGCTCACAGATCTGTTGGGAAAATAATACAGGCAGGCACAGATTATCCAATAAATTTGTAGAATGCATTCAAGACATTTTTTAGTACAGAAGGTGGAGAAAATGATCAGGGGAGAAACTGTTCCAGATTTTATTCTGAGAAATAGGCAGGAACTGGTTGAGAATTTGAATGGGTAAGGCAGCTTGGGTGAAAGTGATCATGAAATTATAGAGTTCATGATTCTAAGAAACGGTAGGAGGGGAAACAGAAGAATAAAGATAATGGACTTCAAGAAGGCAGACCTTAGCAAACTCAAGGAGTTGGTAACTAAGGATTAAAATTCAAAATGATCTAGACAAACTGGAGAAATGGTCTGAAGTAAATAGGATGAAATTCAACAAGGACAAATGCAAAGTACTCCACTTAGGAAGGAATAATCAGTTGCACACATACAAAATGGGAAATGACTGCCTAGTAAGGAGTATTGCAGAAAGGGATCTGAGGGTCATAGTGGATAGCAAGCTAAATATGAGTCAACAGTGTAACGCTGTTGCAAAAAAAGCAAACATCATTCTGGGATGTACTAGCCGGAGTATTGTAAGCAAGACATGAGAAGTAATTCTTCCGTTCTACTCCGTGGTGATTAGGCCTCAACTGGAGTATTGTATCCAGTTCTGGGCGCCACATTTCAGGAAAGATGTGGACAAATTGGAGGAAGTCCAGAGAAGAGCAACAAAAATGATTAAAGGTCTAGAAAACATGACCTATGAGGGAAGATTGAAAAAATTGGGTTTGTTTAGTCTGGACAAGAGAAGACTGAGAGGGGACATGATAACAGTTTTCAAGTACATAAACACCTTGAAGATAATAAGGTGATAAGTAACTGACTACATGGATTTGTCAAGAACAAATCATGTCAGATTAACCTAACATTCTTCTTTGACAGGATAACAAGACATGTGGATGGAGGGGGAAGCAGTAGATGTGATATATCTCGACGTTAGTAAGATTTTCGATACTGTCTCACATTACCATCTCATCAGCAAACTAGAGAAATATAGCCTAGAGATGAAACTACTATAAGGTGGGTGCACAACTGGTTGGAAAACCGTACTCAGAGAGCAGTTATCAATGGTTCATAGTCCAGCTGGAAGGGCGTATTGAGTAGGGTCCCGCAGGGACCGGCCCTGGGTCTGGTTCTATTCAATATCTTCGTAAGTGATTTGGATAATGGCACAGACAGCACACTTATAACATTTGCAGATGATACCAAGCTGCAAGGGATTTACTCCCGGGGGAATTTTGCACCATTGCGCATACTCAAAATTCATGTCCCCCCTCAGATTTCTTTGCTTCCCCACAGAAAAATGACTTTCTGACAGGGAAGCAAAGGGAAGCTGCAAGAGCAGTCATGCACCACTCCCTAGCACTGCAGGTACATTGTTCCAGGCACCCGGAGCAGCCAGTGGAGAGGTTAATCACCCCAGGACTGAGGAGACCCCAGCCAGTGGCTCCTACCTTGAGCCGGGATCAGCTGCTAGTCCCGGCTGGGCTAGAGGCAGGAGA